TAAAATGCCCAGATGATTAAGAGAGGATCCTAGGCTTCAGATGGTTCACATTTTTAGCCAAGATTGAAAAGTGCTACCCCCAAAACATATTCCTGAGATTTTTCACTCTTCTTAATCCAGTGTACTCCAAAGATAGGTCAGGCAAGAACTCTGCTGCAACTGACTTCTAAAATGTGCCCTCTTCAATGTACAAGGGGGCTCCATGGCACTCCCTGTTGGCTTGCCCCACTGTGAGGAAGTCACCTGAACACTCAGTCCCGGTACTATCACCTGCCTTTGCCCAGTATGAACTTCTGGTGGTAAGGGTGATGTTTTGGAAGTACAGAAGCTGTGTGGCAGAGGAGAAGAGATGAAGAAGGTAGGGTTGGGGACAGTAAAGAGTCATTGGAAAGAAGCAGGCTCTACTTTTCACCAACCCCATCCTGCTCAGAGCCACACATAGCCAAGGGCATGTTCTGGGCCTTCATCATTTATTAGGTGTTTGGTCATGACAAAATTACTTAATCTTGTAAAAATGGAATAACTCTGGGATTCAAAATGGGTCTGTCTAATTGAAGAATCCAAATGCTTTCCCAGCTTATGTAGCATCTTCTAATTTATATCTTCAGTATATGCTCAGTAATGAATACAGTAATTAATAACTTCCCAGATGGTGGCTGAACCTGCTTTTAAATTCTTAGAGTCAAACGAGTTGGGACAATGTTACAAGAAGATTAGCTGGGGAAAAAATGGCATGTCATTTATTATCAGCCCAGAACATTCAGAATTGTCATTTGTAAGAAGTAAGCTCATTATTAATAGAAGATTACTTTTCTTGTCTTTATGTGACTATTTTCTGAAATTAAAAATAAACATTTCTTTATTGAAAAAGCAAAGCATGTTTATCTAATACAAATTGGAAAATAAAGATGAGCGAATCTATAAAATTAAACATTTCCATACCCTTTCACCTAGATATAATTGCTGAGTCTTAGTATATCTTTTTATACTTTCTGTGCTTCTCTATTTTAAAAACTGTAGCATGTTTTCTTTTACTTTATAACATTGTTTAATAATATCCCATGTCAATACATTTACCCTTACTACATCATTTTTATGTTGATTTATTAAGGTGAATAATTCTGTTTGATTTTTAAACCACATCTGTTTACACAGAAGTCAGAAATCCACAGATAAGGAAACATCTGAAGAACCTAGGTGTGGCCATGAGAAGAGGTTGAGTAATTCAAAACAAAGTGCAAAACAGAAAAACAATTACAACTAGTTTGACAGTTATGTGTCTGTTTCCTATAGCCCTTCTACCCACAAGTCTACTGCTGACTTCAAAGAAAAGTCAGCCTAGAGGAGGTCGGAGGATAAGGTGCAAAATGAGAATCAAGCCCATGATAAGAGATTAAAGGGAAGTTGATCAAAGACCTACCATAAAAGTGCTAGCCAGAGATTTACCTTGGCCCATGGCCCCAAAATATTCATCAGAACAGGAGCTCTCTTTGAAGTAATTAGAAGCACCATGCTCAGATGAGCTCTGTGGTCCAAGGGAACTTACAGACTGCCAGGAGGAGTTAGCAAGGTTGGCCCTTCCTGACTGGGCTCAGCCAATGGCCTGAACACTGCTTCTTGGGTATATTAGGCAGATGCAAGGCGTTTGACTGGACTAGGGATCAGGTGAGGAAACTAACACAAGAGGTGAAACCTAATCCTTTTTCTTTCTGGGGATGTGGGATGTGCAGTAGCCTTCAGTGATTGTGACTTTGTACTCTGAGTCCAGAACTGTAACCACCCTGCATCTTTTTCATGCAGGATGTGTTAAAGGGAGTGTGGTATTTCCACATAGGCAATAAGATGTGCTCCTCATTCTCCTTGTCCATTCTTGTTCATTACCTGTTCAGTGCTCTTCTGAGTAGGAGTTGACGAGCTCTGTGGCGTTGTGCTATAAATCATCCCTTTCCCTAGAGAGGGAAAGAAAGTAAAAATCCTCCTCAAATGGTACCATCGTTTACCACATTCATTTTAAATTTTCAAAGAAATTTATATAAAATTACTAAAGTTGTGTTCTTAGAAGACTAATTTTTTGGGTTGTTTTGATTTGTTTTTTAGTCTGCATGATAATCTATGTATATAGAATCATCATTTTTATTTTTCAAGGGACTTTTCCTCTCAGTTTTGTATTCTTTATTTAAAGCCCTAAAGTTTTCCGCAAAAGATTTTGGTGAAGCCCTGGGAAGGAACTAAACAATGCATTCCCTACCTTAAAGGAACCACAGGTCAGGAGGGAAGATAATAAATTTATACCCTTAAATGAATAAGATACAAAATGACATGAGATGGTCTTACAGAAGGAGAATTTGAATCAAGTTTTTTAAATACCCAAACTTGCCTGTAATTTTGGTACTCTGGGAGGCTGAGACAGGAGGATTGCAAATTCAAAACCAGCCTGGGAAAATTTGCAACTTGGTGATGCCTTGTCTCAAAATAAAAAATATAAGGCTAGGGATATAGCTCAGTGCTAAGGCTTTGCATTCAATGCCTAGTACTTTAAAAAAATTCTTAAATGTCAAAAAGTGAAAAGCATAAAAAGATACTCTAGCAGTGGCTGAGACAGCACAGTCACAGTTATAAAAGTGGAAATCTTAAGAGATTTCTGAACAGAAAGTAAATATACTCATTTCATTGAGATATTGTCATTGAAAAAAGCATAGGATAGCAATGTTAAAATACATCAGGATTAGAACATGCTATGAAATCTGGATTTTTTTTATGAATATAGAAGGAAGCTATTGAAACCCTTGCAGGGGAAGAACATGCTGCAATGCTTCATGATAGATTTATCTGTGAAGTACAGGATGAATGGGTGGAAAGACACTGGGCTCCAGTTAGCACAGGAGCACAGATTTGATGCTGGAGACAAAGGAGGCAGTGAAAATGAGAGGACTTTGTTGATAACAAAACAAGAGCTGATCTGACCTGTGGAAACATGGGAGAGGGATGTGGAGGAGGAAGAATGAGAGGACTCAATTGCACTTAAACATAATTACCTCTTATTACCTACGTGCTATGTAATGGGCATACAGAAAGATTAAGAACACCCACAGAATGGTTAGATACACAGAGCATATGTCCACAATGAAAAACACAAAATAGACTCATGTAAGCCTGAAAGACCCAGGCAATGAGCCTTGAGGAACTCAGAAAAAGAGATCATCTTTATAAGCTTACAGAAAGAGATGGGTAGGAGCTGAGCCGTGAATAATGGGTAGACTTTGGAAAGGAGGGGAGCAGAGGTTGAATCCGTGGTGTGAGGAGTACATAAGCAAAGGCATGAGAGATGCCGCTGGGAACAGAATGCTTCAATTAAAATGCAGAGAAAGAAAAAGGGGTAGAGACCCATGACTGGTCTGGTAAAAGTTTCAAGGTCAAGTTAAAGAGTTTCCAGTTTAACATGGGAAATGATAATCCACTGATGTTTTGAACAGGGTTGTGACCTGCAAAAGGTCTTTGGGAAATGGAAGTTTAATCTGTCAGAGGGCAAAAGCATATGCAAAAGGATGGGATTGTACTAGCAAGCTGAGTAATTGGATGACCTAACTGAAAGAGGATGAAGATACAAACTCTATTAACACTGATTATGGGAAGGTAAATTACAGAAAAGAGGTGAAGAAATTATCATTATGCCTAGGGAAAGAGAAAAATTCAGACTTTTACTCAAAATTTCATAACTGGGAGGCTGTGGTAACAATTTAGCTGCACACCAAAGCAGAAAACTTGAGAGGTGAATGGTTTGGAGGCAACTTTCCTTTAACATTAATGTTAAGAAGCTGAGCTTAGGGCTGGGGATTTAGCTCAGCTGCATAAGCACCTGCCTTACAAGCAGGCGGTTGTGAGTTCGATCCCCGGTACCAAAAAAAAAAAGAAGAAGAAGCTGAGCCTGAGATATTCACAAAAGTATGTCCAAAAGGCGATTAGAAGTGAGGGGATGCAGCTCAGCTGGAGAGCAGACTGAGCATGCCAACTTGAAAAAATCCAACACAGCTCAGCAATTGAAGTTTTTAAATTAATTAATTTATTTAGAAAGTATAGTTCTTTCAGAAGAGAGTTTATGCTCTCTTGATATGGATGAATTCTCAATCACCCTTTGTTTCCACTGGAAAACATTTCAACTGCTTGTGAGAAAGATAGGAGGACTGTAGCAGAGTTTCCTGGTTCAGGCATAAATTTTGTGGGGATCATGCCGTATCCTGGTCTTCAACCATGACAATTCACATATTTCACTTCTTTGTCAGTGCAGCACTGTCCAAAGGCAGTGTCTTGCACCCTATGCATAAGCAGTGACAGTTAATTTGCATTTTTATTATAGTTCTCAAAAATAAAAGACTGGACATAAGAAAAACTAACAGGCTTACAGCCAATTTTATAAAGATGGACTCTACATAAACAAATGTAAATCAGATATAAATTTGAATTGCAAACATTTTCATTAACACGATCCAAGGAGTAATAACTGACTTCAGATCCTTACTAGAATGATAAAAATCCATTAACAAGCCTTTATCCTTTGAAGTCTCAGAAATACTGCAAAAATCACCTTGAAGAGGAATGCTGACAACTAAAGGTTTTAAGAGTGGCAAATGTTACTATGCTAACCCTAGGCCCAAAATGACCAAAGCAATGTCGGCCTGTATTGTTGTCCCTTCTGAAATGACCACTAGCAAGAAACTCAGTTATTTGGCAGTGGAAAGATCCTGGAGATGTACATGGGCAAGGAGGGGCTGAGAGATTTAGGATGAGAGGATAAAGACCATTCTAGAATAAAATGAACCAACTATAGTAAAGGAGAAAAGGATTAAACATAGATAATAATCCTCATACCACTGGAACTTACAATTATATAGGTTTAAAAAAGGAGCATCAGTATAGTTGATGTGATCATAAAAGGCAGCACTGTGTCCCTCTTTTCCCTTTCTAAACTATTTAAGAAATATCCCCTTTCTCTGTTCTTACAGCCGCTCGACTCATCCAGAACATGGATCCAACCGCTGAACCTTGTGCAGACTTTTTCAAGTATGCCTGTGGAGGCTGGTTAAAACGCAACGTCATTCCTGAGACCAGCTCCCGTTACAGTAATTTTGACATTTTAAGAGATGAGCTAGAAGTAATTTTGAAAGGTTAGTGGTGATTGTGTCAAAGATTTCTGGCTTCACTAATCCATTTTTTAAGATGCAACTGTTAGCCATTGCAGGAAACATTGTAAAAAAAATTGATAATTTCTACAAGATTGGCAGATCACCACTGAGTCACTGAGAGCAGTAAACACCGAAATGAGTATGTTGGAATTAGCAGTTCTCTTTTCATTTGCAGGAACATACAAGATAAAGATCTTTCGTCCCCAATGATGGTGTCTTAGTGCTGTTACACAGAAGAAAAACATACTAAAAACTACACCTGCAGGTTTCCTAAGTTGTGTTAAAGTTGCTGTAACGCATTACTGTGATTTGTCTTCCCTGGGAAGTTGAGAGTGTTTGCTCTAGTCCCTACTGTCTCCATCCTCTAGAAGTTACTTTGTTTTATATATATATATATTTACTATTTTAAATATCTCATCAAACAGAATGATTCATTTAGTTGACTTGTAATATGAACAGTAGAACACACAAAGTTAATTCTTTCCCATCATAGAAAGTATTATCCATATGAAATCATACATTCTTATGAATTGTTATTTATTTTGTTTTGATCCGAATTATAATCTGAATTTCAAAAGAAAACTAACTTACCTATGACAGAGCAGTGCATATCATTACACACGGACACACGGACACACACACACACAGAAAGATAACATAGGCACAAAGACTTGAAGCTAACTTGCCTAATGAAACTAACTACTTGATGTTGATCTGTCTGGCAAGAAATTTGTTCTTTCTGATGGAGTTTTGTACTAAGAAGGGATAAAAGCAAGTTTTTTACTGAACTTATGTTGAAAATGCGAATTTCAGCTACAAGTCAAAAATTGTATTGATGCTTTTTACAAAATTCCTTATTTCAGATGTCCTCGAGGAACCCCAAACTGAAGATATCATTGCAGTGCAAAAAGCAAAAACATTGTACAGGTCTTGTATAAATGAATGTAAGTGCTCTTCATTTTGATGGCAGTAGGAGTGTTCATGTATTTGAGCCAAAGGCTGCACAGACTTCATATTGAATTCTTTTTCTTTGTTTTCAAAGCTATTATTGATAGTAGACGTGGACAACCTCTACTGAAACTGTTGCCAGATATATATGGGTGGCCAGTGGCCTCAGAAAACTGGGAACAAACATATGGTAAGGCAATTTTCCTCTGGTTTTTTTTTTTTTTTTTACACTTTTTTCTTTTTACCGGTACCGGGGATCGAACTCATGACCACCTGCTTCCATGGCAGGTGCTTATGCCGCTGAGCTAAATCCCCAGCCCCAATTTTCCTCCATTTTTAAACAGATAATTTTTCACATGAAGTCTATTATAGAATCACTCATGAAACAAAGCTTCTAAAGACATCTTTCACCTTTCTTTGCTTCAGGTACCTCTTGGACAGTTGAAAAATCTATGGCACAATTGAGTTCTAAATATGGGAAAAAAGTTCTTATTAATTTTTTTGTTGGCACTGATGATAAGAACTCTACCTACCATGTAATTCATGTAAGTCTGTGTCAGACAGAATTGTCTTAAATTGTAGTAAAACATCCATGCACATTGTTGCTACTGATATTTAGAAGTAATGTTTATTTTCATTTTAAGTGTAAAGGCAAAGAGGTTATAACGTCATGTTCTATCTCTCTAATACCCATACCCAGGGTCTCAAAATTGAAAGTATTTTTTTGCTGCTGTATTTTCGACATTTGCCTCTTTTACTATCTCTGGTTTAGATATTTCTTCTTGTGTTAAATAAATAAGAGATGCTCCTGGCCCCTTATACTGAGAAAAAGTTCCTGGGTTCTCTGTATGTTTTGTGAAGGTAATCATGCTTTCATTTACTTAATTAATGTGGGTCTGTAAGCTAAGAACTTCTTATTGATTAGAAAAAGAATAAAAAGGGATTTTGAACACGATTTTAGGTCTCACTATAGAATATCTGTATATTCTCCTTAGTTAAGATAAATAAAATACCATTCTTCTTAAATAGCTATATTTAGATTGCTTGAAATTTAAGCCATTAATTTTGGAATCATCTGAGTTAATGAATGAGTCTGGAATCAACTAAATATTCTGTAGTATTTTCATGTAGTCTTCTGTGGAAGAAATTGTACTAAAAATTACAGGTCACAAAATCACATTTATGTCACTATTGAACGGATCTTTATGGTCATTTTTAAGTAAAATCCTGAAAGGAGTTAAGCTGTACTCTTTCCTGCAGTGGAATTCTTTTCCGTGTTACAAACACTTTCCTTGTGTTCTCAAATGCCAGCATCCTGCCACGATCACCTTGAGGGTCAGGAAAGAGCAAAACCCTTGATGTGGAGATGCCTTTTGGCTCTTTCCACAGTGTTCCTTGGGTCGTTTCCTGTGTATTGGTCTAGGCTTCCCACAGCTGCTCACAAAGTTGAGCGAGCTCAGCTTGCTCTTCCATAGCTATCTACTTACTACAGCAGCAGTGAGTCTTCTCATTCAGTTGCTATTTGCACTTGCTGAAGTCCTTCTCAGGCAGAGCGACTCCGAAGAGTGCTGAAAAGGCATATTCTCCATTCTTTTATGGTGGAGGATCTCAGTACACTTTTTAGTAGTAATATTTAAGGTAGCTAAAAGCCTTCAAGATACCATATGTGTTTTCTATGGCATCCCCAGAACCCATCCGAATAAACTTGAAGGATATGACCTACGATAGCCAATAATAATGAGTCCCAAATAAGGGTGGGAATAAATTAAAGTATTCCCCGAGGGCATACTGGAATGTCCTGAAGCTGGCAAGTCCTGTAAATGTGCAATTTTCCCTCCCAATGTTAGAGTCTGATGTGTTTTTGTTCACTTGCATCTTCTGCTCTGCAATAAAAATCCTTCCTAATATGTATTTTGTTAAATTTCCTCCAATTTCCCTTAATATGCACAGCACAATTCCTCCAGATTATTTAAATGCTACTGAGTTTAACACTTATAAGTAGTGTAGAAAAGCCATTTCCTAATTATGTACTTAGTTTCTGACTGTTACCCTCATACATATTGAGAAGACTGGCCTTTGCGCATTCACAGACAAGAATGCTTATGTTTTGTTCAACTATTTTATATCTGCTGAATGGTTTATTTTCTTTGATTTTTTTTTATAGTTTGACCAACCTCGACTTGGACTTCCTTCCAGAGACTATTATGAATGCACTGGAATATATAAAGAGGTAAATTAAGGAGAGAAAGAAAAATAACCAAAAACAAACTATATAGAAGTATATGGTGTAAAACTATAAATATTAGAAAAGACTAGAGCCAAATTTTAAAAACCTTTTTATATTATTTTCTCAGAAAAATTAAAATCTCACATAATAATGGACTACCATTAGTAGAATGAACATTCTTCATAGAGTAGTAGGTAAAGAAATACAGGAAAACTGAAATTCTTTATGTGTGTCTTGATTTTTAGTGTTTGAATCACATGACCAATCTTTTTATTTTAAAAAGCAAAACAAAAAAATAAGGATAGAAATGATACAAAATTTCAAAAAATAGGAAATTAATACTGGTTGATATATTGCATATTGTTATTTTAAAAGTAGTTGTTCAAATCACAAGATGTAGACACAAAAAATGATCAATCAATCAAAGCCAACTTTGTTTTAATTCATCTGCAAAATGAATCATTTAAACATAATCTGATTTATTATAATATTGAGTAATAGCACTGAAGATCAGGAATTGACAGACTCAGAAACCCGCTTCAAGAACTTTCTGATTTCACTTTCCAAGGACTATGCTGATAGGAACATTCACCTTCTGTTTCTCGTATCGGTCAATGAACCCATGGGTGTCACGCCCCACAGAACTGTATCTTATAGTGCTCACACTCATGCCATCCACAGGCTGACGCTGATGTGTTCTTGATACTGTTGGACAAAACTGTAATGTTGTATATTATTAGATACTAGGGAAGATATTTGTTTCTCAGATGCTTTCCTCATAATTATTTTTTTCATAGTTATTTTATAGTTCTCATATGTTAAGTTTACCTTAGACTATCTTAATGGGTCATCTTGTGGTGGTATGACTGAAATTACTTCTTAAACCTATTAGCTAAATATGTCTTGCTAGCATCTATTATGCCTAATTATTAAATTAATATGGAATAAGATGTCTTTTTGAATGGCTATACAACATTGAAGTGAAGATGATACTGTATATTTTCAAAATTAATATCACAGGTAATCAAACAGGTATGAGATATTTGAGTTACCTAGTTACCGTGTTGGTTGGAGCTATTGGTTTTAAAAGATGTCCAGCTTGCTCCTACATCAGATTTGAAACTGATAGAGAAAATTTGGCTTCTTATACTGTATGATCTTAATTATCAATTGGAATATTTTCATATTTAGTATTGTCACCTTAAATATGAGGTTTTTTCCCCAGATTTTACTCACTATCTTTCACAGTTTTATGTTTCTTATATTAAAGTATAGCTGTTGGTCAATTCTTTTGTTTTGGTTTTGGTTTTTTGTTTTTTTTTTTTTTTTCTTTTTTTGGTACCAGGGATCAAACTCATGACCTCTCGCTTGCCAGGCAGGTGCATATGTCACTGAGCTAAATCCCCAGCCCTGGCAGTCAATTCTTATACTTGTCAAATGCTTATTCTACATCTTTTGAGATCTCAAACAGGTTTTTGTGCCTCCTTTTTTGATTTATGTGTACTGAGTGAAGCACTGTCATAAATCCCACTTGATTATGATTGTTGGTCTTTTTAATGTGCTGTTGAATTTACTTTGCTAGTATTTTGTTGAGAATTTTGCATCTATATTTATCAAGGATATTAGCCTATAGTTTTCTTGTAGTGTCATTATCTGGCTTTGGTGTTAGGACTGGTCTTATAAAATGAGTTTGGAAATGTCACCTCTTCAATTTTTTTTGGAAGAATTTGAGAAAGACTAATAATGGTTCGTCTTTACATTTTTAGTAGAATTTAATGATGAAATTACCAAAACTGAGATACTTTAACTTGTTTTTCCTGAGTGCCCTAAAATTTCAGATAGATCTTCTAAAAGTATAGATGTGATAATTCATTTTTTAATAAACAGATAATGTAATATTGGCCATTTTGTTACCAAAATTGTAGGGAAGTTATAGAATCTAGAGAACAACTATAAGAGAAAAACAGACTAATTCGGTCATTACCCTTTTGGTCCCTTTGTAAAGAGAATGCTAAGATAGTTGACTAGGGTTAAAGTACAACATAAGACCATAACAATTCAATAAGCAAGCACTAGAAATTTTGATCCATATCTATATCTTTATGAATAGTCTTTTGCCCCCTTGTCCAGCTTGAAATCATTGGATTGTACCATACCTAACATTCCAGTGTATGTACCATCAGTCCCCAGTTGGTTCAATCTCCCAAAGTCTAGAAGAGCATTTATTTGTCTCAATAGCCTGAACAGCCTTATAAGAGTACCTTGATCATAGTAAGAGGTTTATCCAGTTACAAAAATCACTGAGATAGAATTCTCTGTTTAAGATTAAGGATACATACTGAATCCAAATTATAGTATCTATAGATGAACTACCACAATCAGCATAAGGACAAGTGATACAGAATACTCTTTGTCTCATAAAAGGACACATATTCACCATGTCTATTCCTGATGAAAAATTCAGTAAAATGAGTTCATCAAGAAAACTCTTATATTGAATCCTCGTTAAAGACAGAGCTCTAAGGTATTCTGATTATCTGAAAGATAATTTAATGACTCACTACTTTCCAAAAGATGAAAGTATTGAGATTCAAAACAAAGATATACATTTCTAGGTTAGGAAAGCAATATGAAACATTGCCCCTTAAAAGATAATCATTGCCACTCTTGAAATTTTAAAATGCAGCCAACCAATGATCACACATAATACAGTTTTTATGAGAGGAACGATGACCCTAATTTGTTAAAAATATCATTCATCTTCAGAAGAGCTTCTGAACTCTGTGTTGGCAATGAACTGGAATTGATCTTAAAGTTTTGGTTTCTCTGCGTTCTAAGCTCATCAAGGCTAAATGTTACTTTGTCCTTCTATAATAACGAAATCTGAAATTAGCAATCCAAAATATTTGAGCATGATTATAGTTATAGAGAGATTACAGATATGTTTATGTTCTGTACTGATGTCTAACTGTAAAGGCCAAATAGGATATGGCAGTTTCAGAATTCAGGGGCTATTTCATATGTGCCAATGGCAGGCCTTCATGTAGAGACATCCACACATACATACATGTTTCAAGAAGGCTTGACTTTTTACTTATTTGTTTATACACTAACAAAAGATATACTTGAACAGAGCGTTTCATGGCTAAAGCAAAAGGGAGAAAACCATGGAGTTAGAAGATGGGAGCCTGTGGAGGAAACATGGGAGTTGGAGATTAGAATCTATGAGATATGATACTGCATTCTATGACAAAGGAGAAGGTCCATGCTATATGGGTAAATTTAGAGCTCTTCCAAAATCTATGATTCGTAACGTAGGAAGATGCTTTGCTGATATACCTAGAAAAGAGTACAAGCTGTGATTGGCAGTCCTTTATATGAGTGATTGCAAACGGGAACTGAGATTAGACCTTAGGTATCAATTTTATTTTTCTGCTCACCCAAAATACAAACTGAAAGACTCAGCTCAGGCCTGGAGTTGAGAAGTGTTGAAGAAATGGGAAATGAGTGAAAAATGCTTTATATACTTGAAATTTAAGTTTATTCTTTGCTATTCAATGACAGTCTACCATGTGACAGAGTTTTCTAGGCATTAAGGATTCCAAGCTGGGGCCGGGGGATATTGCTCAGTGATGTAGCACCTGCCTGGCAGGCTCAAGGTCCTGAGTTTGATTCCTGGCATTAAAAAAAAAAAAAAAAAAAAAAAAAAAAAATTTCAAGGAAACAAGATCCTTGCTCTCATAGCATTCATCTTCTAAGGGAGGAGATAGACAAGGAAGAAACAAGTGAATTACTTAAAGCAGTAGGATAAATTGAGATAGTGTTGTAAATGAAATGAAAGAATCGTATAATGACTAATGATTGGGAATAGGAGTAGGTGAGCATCTGGCTACGCCTTGTAGAATGCGTTATAATGGTAGCAGAGAGAGCAGCGGAGACCATGTGCTAATTTAGGTGAAAAGTGACTCTGGACTCAGATGGCAGCAAGTAACGTACAGAAGTGTGAAATTTCTAAGATAGTTTTCTAAGACACTTTCTAAGGAATTTCTAAGAGGGCTTTTATAAGTGTCTCTTATTGTAGTACAGTTTAACTGTACTTTAAACTACCTATCCAGCGTGTCTATAAATGCGTAAACTAAGCCTCATGGTCTAAAACAGCTATGATTTGATTAGAGATAACCCACAAGAGAAACTAGTCACCTGATTTTCTCCTTTCTGGCTACCAAGTGATCAATAACCCACAAGATTTTACCCAACTCATGTATCTGTATTTAACAAAACACACAGAGCCACTTTCACTACGATCTAGAGAACATGACAAGAAAATTTGGAGGTTGTCTGAACCCATTTTGTGAACAAGTCTGTATACAGCTTCTAAAATATGTGGATTCATAAAATATAAAGATGTTTTAGTGACATTCGTAGGAAAGAATACATGCAATAAACCTTAGAACTTTTTGTCTGACTCTCCAGATTCTCAGCCTTTGTGCTTGTCCATGGCAGATTCCTTTGAGTCTTCTTCTGCCCTGTAGTTATGGTGGGGTTCAGGCTGTGTCTCATTTAGGGTCCCTAGGAATGCCATATGACTGTGTATTTTTGCAGCACTTGTGTGAGGGGCAAGTTTTTCTGTATTGGCAGTTGCATGTTGTTTAACATGATGCTTAAACTAGAAAAGGTTCTCAAACCTCTTTCACAGGAAATATCTTTCCTGCTTGGTGTCCCTGTGTGCTCCCCCAGAAAACTTCCTGTGTAATACTTAAATATCCTCTAGTGTCGGTGGCTAAAAATAGAACAGTTCTGTGACTTCTCAGTTACTTTTCTGCTGTACATTATGTTGGTTTTCTTTTCAGGAAGAGGAAGACAAAAAAATAGTAAAAGCTGGGTGTCTAGAAATGAAATCACTGATCCATAAGTAGCTGGCTCACTAAGGTACTCAGATATCATCAGTCCAACTGGAAAGCTTTCGCTTTTTCTCTGGGTCTTGCTGTGATTCATTAATGAAGATTAATGATGCTCAAGTGTGAAGGGAAATAGTAAAAAAACATTGCTGTCTTCTTCTTTGGTGACTCTTAACAGTCATTAGCTTTTGTCTAGGTGGGAGTATTCCCTCTTCGAAAGAGCCAATTTATGAATAACAGTGCCAGTCTTGCAAAACGAAGATCGTTCCAATAAAAATAAAGGCCCATGCTGTTAATAATCATAAATATTATCTCTTTTAATAGTATGTGATTTAGAATAACATGAAATTGCTGCTGCATGGATTTTTCGTAACTGTTGAAAACAGCCCTTTGAAGCTGCTTTACAAGTGGTAGGACTTCCTTTTAAAAGAAAAAAGCTGCATAGATGTTGTGGGAGTTGTTGGTTCTTTCACACACAAAGCATCACTGGTTTACTCTGCCATCAAAGAAGAAGCTGACTTCTGACTGTCAGAATGACAGCTTAATCTAGCCTCTGTGCTAACAAGTGAATGCTCTCTCAGTCATAAAAAATAAAATTTAAATTTTAGTTTTAAAAGTATTCTGGCCAGTGTACTATTTAAGTGTTAAAATATGTATCACTTACTTTTGCCCCAAATAGTGAATATTAGACTCATTTAGTATGTTACATATTCAAAAGTATCTTAAGAATAAAAATTAAAACCTTGTCTTGTAAAATGGATTTAGCTGCAACTGTAAATTTGGTTTTTGACAACTATCTGATACTGTTGGAAGCTGCAGGATATTAAACCATGTGTTTTAATCAGTCACAATGGGATGGTTACCAGGCTGGAACACATTAAAAGAAAGTGTATTACGTGTGACTATATTGAATATTCAAGCACATCAGAAACTAATCCCATCACATGCTACCAATTTCCCAAAAAATGTTACCAGTTTTCCAGTTTTCCAGTGTTAGCAGTTTTGCAGGACCAGGGTAGAAGTATCATCCAGAGTTCTTGGGTTTGCCTTGCACCAAAGTTCTACAGCTTTAGATGTAACTAGAAAGATAAAGACATTGAAGTAGAACCCGTTTGTGGAGTCAACAAAGTACCACAGGAGGATTCTTGTTATTGTTTTCTTGCCTCATTAACAATAAGGCATCTCATATAGTAAAGGAAAATCTCAGTAGGATGATACTGGAAAATTCAAATGAAATCCTTCGTAGTAGTAATTCCCCACTGAAAGAAGATAGATTTATATCCTTTGAAATATGGTTTCTTCAAAAAGCTGCATATTAATTCTTTGGAATAGTTGATCTCAGGAGATATGAACTCAGATGAACTTACTTACTTCAAAGTAAGACAAGAATTCTGATTACCGTTTAGTAGGCAAAACCATAGTTGGTAAGAATATATATGAAGTTATCTTTTTATTCCTGTTACCTTAATGATTAGGTTTTTAACATGTATTCACAGCCAAAAAATTGTTCATCCTATTGAGTAGCAGATCCATGGATAGAGACATAGCAAGTTCTAGCATTACAGATGTTCATGAAAAGAAACAGTGCTTCTCTTCAGGGAACTATCTGATAGCATTTAATAAAGGTCACCAAATGGCAGTATGTAAACCTCTAGACTTTAAAATTGGCAGCTGAAACCTTTTGATTCGGTTCTTGCTTGATAACATATTTCATTTCTCTATCTGTCTAGGTTTGGTAATAAGCCACTGTAAATTCAGATGTGTCTTTGCAGTCAACAATGAATATAAGACTGTCCCTTCTGCTTTAGGGATATAAAATTCTCTGATACCAAAAACATGTATCTCCGAGTTGCGTGGCCTATTTTTTGTAATCATAGTTGCTTGTTTTACAAATAGTAAAGCTGATGCCAGGATGTTAAATTTTGAGTAAAGTTAGATGAAATTATTATTTTAGTTGATGATGGATGATAATGACTAATACTTAGCTATGGTTGAGACTTAAAAGTGAATGATACTTGCTGGTTTAATGTCACTGAACTTAAATCATTTATATATTCTGTAAGAGATTGGTAGTGTAACTAGTTTGTAGTTTATTTTTGTACACTAACTGTATATGAAGTTAAACTATAAACAAATCAAGTTCTCATAAGAAACCTGAAATCTAAACCTGTCTTGTGGTACAATTCAACATTAATGGGAGCATTGGGGAATTAACTAAATGCCACAGGCATGTGTGGAGCAGCTCCAAGAGCAATCTCATTAAAAAAATTACTGCTTAACCTGAGGAGACAGATATGAAGATGCCCTCATCATGTTATATGAACTTGTGGCTATCCCTTTGTAATTAGTTGAAAAAATAATTATGTGTGAGCACAGAAAACCTAGAAAAACAGATTTAGTGAATGAATGCATTATTTAAGGAAAATATTATAATTACTTATCAAGTGTTTTGTTACTGCCTTCTTATAAAGGAAAGCAACTTGATTGCAAATTGAAAATTCCATAATCTCCATAACCGAATGGTTATAAATTACTTAGTACTTTCAAGCTACTCCGCGGCTCTGCTTTATGCTGTACTTAAAATATACATTGATTGTCCGAGGCCATTTCTTTTAGTGCTTAGTAAAAGATTTCTATTTGACTGTGCTTTCTCTGCTACCAAGATTTAATATTGAATTGAGAAAAATATTCTATCTTAAGGTACCATTATGAATATTTAAGACGTTAGCCAACAATTTATTATTTATTTCTTGCAGGCTTGTGATGCATACGTGGATTTTATGATTTCTGTGGCCAAATTAATTCGTCAAGACGAAGGATTGCCTGTTGATGAAAAACAACTTGCTTTGGAAATGAACAAAGTTATGGAATTGGAAAAAGAAATTGCCAATGTAAAACACATTTTTCTGATATACTGAATAATGTCAGCTGCTCTTCTTTAATTGCCTCTTATTATATTTTTAAGGATAAAAGTGTAACTCCGAGCTAAGGGACAAAAAAGCACAGCGTGGTAATGGATCATTGACTTCATAAGAATCTTTAAAACTATAGAATTTTATAGTAAATTAGAATCCTGACATCCAATTGACAAACTAAATTTGCCAAATATTAAACTGGATATCCCTAATTGTCTCTTATAAGTAGATTACATCAAACTTTTACCATTGCTGTCAAACTTTTGTTAGATATCCTTGAGACTCATGACACATACAAAATTGTTTTAGTTTTTCTAGTAAGTTTATTTTAAAATTTAAAGTAATCACAAGATTATCTCTATCCTGTGCTGTGCAATATTAGCACCTGAAGATGGTCATAAAGCAGTGTGATACCACTGAGTTCAGATTGTCAACTAGCGAGCTCAGGGAGGGTCAGATGGGAAGAACTTAGCCAGAAAGCCAGTGACATGTTTCTGCATCTCCTCTTGTTCCATACAAACTCTTGGAGTCTGCATCGGCATGTTCTTCTCTCATGGTTCTTTGATAAGAACCCACAATCCCAAGCAAGAAACTTCTAAGTACATCCAGGTTACTGATGGAACTCTTGCACAGCTTTAGTCTAGAACCCAGAGAATTTTCTGAAATTGCACACAGTAACAGCCACTCCTAGGTGCTCATCTGCTCACCACTACTGTCTAGCCTCATCAGAATCCTGAAGAGTAAAGATCTTGGAGGGCAACTTTAGTTTTCCTGGGGCCACTGGGAACCCTAATCATAGCCAGGCTGCTTGGAGCTGCAGCTGGATGAATAGCAGTTTGATGGTTTGCATGTGGTTCTGTGTTGCGAACAGAATTGTTGAAGAACAGTTTATTACACCACTCCTATTTTCCTAGGCTGTGTCTCCCTTTGACAATCCTTGGCTCTGTAGAGGTTTCATTTTACTTCAGAATTATCTGTGATTATATTTTCTCCCCTATTTTCGAGTCTGAGATTGGCATAGAGTTTTCGCTACTTCATCATCATCTGTATATCTCTAACAGGGCCCACAGGAAATGTTTTTCAGTAATTGTTTTGTTTTAGTAAATAAACAGATGCAATGCTTAAAGGGTATATTGTACTGATTTAAACATTGTCATTAAGTAGTAAGTCCCATCTTTAAACCTTCATCTTTTGTTCCTTCCTACTCATTTTGATCACTTAAACTGGACTTGCTATTTTCTTTTCTGTTTAGATTCAGTGTAGAACACGACAATTGGATATTGTTGAGTACAAAACTAGTTAGGCAGAATTCAAGAGCATTCACTAAAATAGAAAGCATTATCATTCTTTTTCAGCTAGCCTGCAACCTGACTGTGCTGTATACTAGAAATTTTCTGTTATTTGCTATATATTATTGTGGAAACTAGTGCACCTGAATTTTAATCAGAGCATTGAATGATAAGATGGGTATTAGAGATAGAGTATTTGAGAGGTGACCCAGAGGTGAGTCTGTCCAAAGAGAGGTTATAATACAAAATAGTTACAGACGCAGTTGAACTGCCCATCAGTCATGGTTATGTGATGTGGCAGATAGGAAAATATGAAAACACTGTGTGTGTGTGTGTGTGTGTGTGTGTGTGTGTGTGTGTGTGTGGTATGAGGCACTGAATGTAGGGCTTTTGCACTGAGCTATAGTACCAGACTTTTTATTTCGAGACAGTCTTTTTAAGTTCCTAAGTTATGCAGGCAGGATTCAAACTTGAAATCCTCCTGCCTTGGCCTCTCAGGGTGCTGGCTTTAGAGACATGTGTCATCATACCCAATTTGAAAAGATTTTTGAAGAATTTTAAATTTGACATGAAGCCAAGTATTTGTAACTGTTTCTGAATATACATGGAATGATAAAAATATAGTAAATATTTAAATTTTTTCATAAGTCTTGAAAATACTCTCCCTACAAACACATTGTGCCATCATTCTTGCCACTTTCTGTAGAAGTTGTACGAGGCCTTTTTGAGTGACTTTACAAGATGTGAGCAAAAATGTAGTAAATGCTGCTGCCCAGAACCATCTAACAAAAAGACAACTCTTAAAACATTACAGTGCGCCCTTTTCCACTTTACTTACCAGATCTGGCACTATGGAAATCCCTGGACATTTCTCAATGTCAGAATGACGATGAATAGTAAACTTTTAAAATAGATTCAGAGCATTGAGGCCACCATGACAATACAGCTAATGTCACAAAAGAGGAATTCAGGACTCCTTCAAAAAGTGGCAAAATGATGAGATAGGTGTATTCAAATATAGGAAAATTATCTGGGGCAATGTATATTTTACTGTAATAATAGTAAAATTTTAACTATTTTTAATCATATTGCATATATTAAATCTCTTAAATTTTTCTTCTTTTGATGTGCCCAAATAAATTACAAAACAAATACAAAATAGAACTTAAGTCAAATGGTGTTTTATTTTTCTTATGTTTCTTTTTAACCCACATAAACCTGTATTTTTCACAGTTTTAAATTAGTGATCAAAAATTATATCCATAGGCGACAACTAAATCTGAAGATCGAAATGACCCAATGCTTCTTTATAACAAAATGACTTTGGCTCAGCTCCAAAATAATTTTTCACTGGAGATCAATGGAAAGGTAAGTATTAAGTTTTATGTAGCATATTACTCTGCCATTTCCTAAAGCTATAACATTAAAATACTGGTTTTTAAAGTCATCAATAATTTGTTGAAATAAATTGAATTTCAAAATGAATTTAAATGACATCAGACATTTGATTTCATAACAAGATGGTGGGGAGGTTATTTAAAAGCATGTATATTTAGTTAGAATGAATGGTAAAATTCTTTTCAAGGCAGATGTAAAATAATATCAGAAATTATTGTAAAAAAGGGTTTGGAAAAAATGAAAAAAATTCTGAGCCCTTTATAAACTCATTTAACTTGAACTGTCAAATAATAAAAAACTATTTTTTTAACTCGTAAAACAGAATAATATATTCATAGGACTTTCTGTGTCCTCATCAAGGACATCTTCAGCATTCAGAAAAATAGAATACAAAAATAAGAAATTGTCTCATATATTCTAATTATAGACTTCTTTTTGATTATCTAGTAATCTCTCTTTCTGGCCTCCAAATTTATTCTTGCACATTAGTTAATGCACAAAGCTGGGAGGAGAAACAATCTTCATAGAAAATATATGAACTATTAAAGTTAGTGGTAGAATTTTTCTTGCACTAATAATAGGAAATATCTTTTTTAAAAAACGATGTAACTTACTGAATTAGACATTTCTTACTTAGAACTTTTTAATACACTATGTGTTTAACAAAATTTTGGATCAATTTTGAAAAATTGATCCAAACCATCAAAAGAAGTCAAGAATATAGCATTATACTTCCTACTTAATAAACTATCTCTCTGTGTATCTAGATAGATATTAATCTAAAATACTGATAATCTGAAATACTCTCAATTCTCATGTAAAGAGTAGTAGACAAGATTTTATACTTTTGCTTCTGAAGTATAAAAACTGTATGCTTATAGACCAAGAGTAATTATTAAATGTGTTTGCTTCATAACACTATGCTTGAATTTGTGGCAGGAGCTCTGGTGTGGTTCAATGCTATGTTTGAATTGTTTAGTAACACCTACTTACAAAGTCCAATACTTGACATACGTTTTCATTTTTGCATAAACGAAGAAGTTTTGTTTTTCAAGCTAATTTACTTTTTCTTCTTTTTTAAAATATTGTTTAGAATAAGAAGACATTGAGCCTAGTTTCTAATTTGTATGTTCTGAAAGCTTGGAAGCTTTATTTTTCACTCTGAGATGGTTATTATAATTCTGCTATCTAAACAACATGTTGCAGAAGTAATTTTTATTAAAAAGCTGATTGAAAAATGAGGGAAATATCCCAAACAAACACAAAACTAAATATTGGGATAATTATTTAGTGATGCAGCTGACACCCTTTAATGTCCGACCTTGCTATAATGAAATCATGGAACCACGAAAAGAAATCTATAATTACTTAATGTTTTGTGCCTGCTTCTTTCCCCAGCCATTCAGCTGGTCAAATTTCACAAATGAAATCATGTCAACTGTGAATATTAGTATTCCAAATGAGGAAGAGGTGGTTGTGTATGCTCCAGAGTATTTAATCAAACTTAAACCCATTCTTACCAAATATTCTGCCAGGTAGGTATGTCAGAGTGCCCATGTCCTCAAAGTTTACATTTCATATCACTCTTTAGATGCTTTGCAGCCTCATCTTTTCTGTTGCTGGGTGGTGGGTTTTTTTATACAGAGATCTTCAAAATTTAATGTCCTGGAGGTTCATAATGGATCTTGTAAGCAGCCTCAGCCGAACCTACAAGGAGTCCAGAAATGCTTTCCGAAAGGTGAAGAAAAAATCTCTCTTTTCTTAAGACTTAAAGCATAAAGAGATACATGGTTATGAAGGCTTGCCATGTATACTATTAGCATGTGGTGAACTCTGCAAAAGACACAAAGCTGTATTTGGCTATTTTGCACATATTTATGGTATATGTTACCTAAGAAGAAGGTCAGTCATTATGGCCTTCCATATTTTATGATAATTACCTGTGACATTATGATCACAAAGCCCTGAAAGGAGTTGCCATTGGTTAAATGAACATTTCATGAAAGAATACTGCATAGATGTATTATTGTCTTTATTGTTATTGTTTTTGTGTTTAAAGATATTTCAGGGGTGTCTTCCTCAATTAACTTGATTTTCAGATGCTCATAGAACAGTGGAAATACACATTTGGACTACACTGACACAAGCTTTCCATTGAAAGAACACCCTCATGGAGGGAGGCACAGACTGAGAGCCTTTACTTAGGCTGTTCCTATGTTATTTAAGTAGTCAGCATTTTAGTCTCATTGTAAGGGGAGTGGCAGCAGGGGTTGAGGAAGGAGAAATTCTAGTAATTTAATGGTTGATGTTCTGGAAAGAAAATAACTGTGAGTGGTCAACAATTCCCATTTTTAAACCTTAAAAAGAGTATATAGATATATTTTTAAAATTAAAGAATATAAAAATGTTACTGTGCTAAATTTTCCTTACCTACATTAGTTCCCTTGCCTGTACTTAAACTTATGCAATTTAGTTTTTATAAAGTATTTGAAGTTCACTTAAAATATTAAAAAGCAGAAATGCATTTTCTTGTGTGTAAATTATCCCCTGTTACATTTATGGAACATTGCTTCACATTTATGTTTATGCAGTGAGTACAATGTTGTGTTTTTTCCTAAAGGGTATTTTTACAAGGATATTAACTTGTAATAGCCAAAAGCTCTACCAGGACATACTGCTGAAAATACACCCTATTTTCAGACTACTTTTAAGTATCAGGTTGCATTTGATCATAAGCTAGGGATACCTACTCTGTGAGAAGTGATGAGTAGTACAAGAATTTAAATGAGACGTAAGGAATAGAATCATGTAGAATTCGTCCTCCTACCCTCTACTCCTGGCCATTTTCTTTTTCTTTTTTGTTCTTTTACAGGCCCTTTATGGCACAACATCAGAAACAGCAACTTGGAGACGTTGTGCAAACTATGTCAATGGGAATATGGAAAGTGCTGTGGGAAGGCTTTATGTGAAAGCAGCATTTGCTGGAGAGAGTAAACACGTGGTAATGTTTTCAACATAATACGTTATTAACTCTGCAATACACTCAGTTTGTTTCCACTGATGGGCAGCTGTAATTGTCCATAATTTGAAGTTTTATCAGTTAGACAGAGAAACTCCAAATAATAACACATAATTGTTCACTAATAAATCTCACCTTCTATCCCTCGTGTATCTAATTATGGTTTTGGTTTCTCTTGTTATTTTCAAAACCAACTATCCATTCTTCAGACACCACGTATTTAGAATACCTAGTCAAATCTTCTATTGAATAGTCATTTGTAAACTTTTGTTATCCAACTGGCCAAAAATAACATTGTCTTAAATAGCTAGAAAGTAAATCAAGGTTTAAAGTGTAAGAAATATACCTTATTTTTCATTGTTACTGTAACAAAGACTGTGGAGATTAATAACATGATGAAGAATTTATTGAAATGCTACTTCATATTTAACTAAACCATTAATGGTACTAACAGCTAATATCGTGTTTTTATGAAGATGGTAGGGACCATTATATATGAATATTTTTTAAATTAAAATGAACATATTTAAGACCATTTAATAAGAAGTGTTGATAATAACAACATTACTTTATAATTAGCCCAAAGGTTTATTGATCTGCATTTCAGTTTGTCTATAATTTTATATTTGTTAGCATATTGCATCATATAAATATAGCATATAGCTCTACTTTTTAAAATCACTGTGACACAGAACTGGATGGCCTAATTTGCTCCTGTACTTTGGATTTGAGGTTGAAGATTTGATCTCACAGATTCGGGAAGTTTTCATTCAGACTTTAGATGAGCTCACCTGGATGGATACTGAAACAAAAAAGAAAGCTGAAGAAAAGGTAAGGACCAGGCAGGTCCATCAAAGCATAGTTTTCTTATGAGAAAAGCTTAGCCACATTTAGGAAAAAATGTGTCCAGGAACAGTTTTCATGGATAAAGACATTTTTTGTTTGGTTTTTATTATTTTTTTAACTTTAAAGAAAATTTTAAAAATCAAACTGCTCATAAGTGAGATAAAGACTTTTTCTGATTTTCATCTTTTATCTCTGCAAGAAGCACTATCTGTATTTAATTAAAACCTTCCTTTTTTCCTTTCTTTAAAAGAAGACTATAAAATAAGGGCAATGTTATGTGAATTAATAAAGCAATAAAGGCTAATATACTAATGGTTCATATATTTTATCTTCCCACAAAAAATAACCTAAAAGATTGCTACCAGTGGTTCAAAATCTGTCCCCTTAGTCTGTAATATAAAATTCCAGTTAAACCTTTAAAACATGCTCTATTAAGTTTAATTGCATGACCAGACAAGAAAAAAGTATTAAATTTCTCATCAAGCAAATATAAGGTGGTATATCTTTTTGTGTGTTATAAGATCTATGGTTAAATGGGTACCATTTATTGTTATTTTTATCTACATTTAGTGGACAGCTTTTATTGAGATTTTTAATATCTTCTGCATGAATAAAAGTAAGATTTCTATGGAAATATTAGGCTTAAAATTATTATGACTATTTGTCCTTTAAGTTATGTAAAACTTTCTGGGAACATATTCTGTGAAGTCTGTGAACCTGCTTTGACCAGAGTATCCACTTTGACTGTTGTTCTATGGTTAGGGTAGAAGAAAGAACACACATTCTCTAGACTAAAACAGGAGTCCATAATAAACCTATGATAATCAATCGCTGGTCCAGGTCTCATTCAGCTTTAAACCAATTGGAAATGATATCTTTGCCAGCTCTCCAAGGAGCCCCAAGTAAAAGGTTAGAACTAGATTTTAGGCCCAGAGCTGACTGTCCTTCTGTCATTCTTGCCAGTTCCTCCAGACATGGAGGTCATATTGCTTCTTTAGTGTCTTAGCTGTCTGTGACACAACTGAGTTTGATATAGACAACCAAATACTTCCAGATCTGAATTTCCACAATGTGACACAAAACACTGGACCCGCACATTGTTCCACAAAGGAGTACCATAGTCAAAACAGTTTAAGAAACACTTACTATAGAAATCTCGTCTGATCCTACCCTGGGCTAAGTAGTACACTTCTAGGGAGGGATCAAATGGCACCAGACTTAAAATATATTTATGTCACTGCCTACCATGACTCTTTTCAGCAAGCTATATGGATACAGAAAATTTTGCCTAGCATTTTTCCCTGAGTCCTTGACAGAGTACCTGGCTTTTGCAGGACACTTGAACATACGTTGAATGAAAAATTGCTAAATTCATTTGTCTTCTTGGAGACTTACACAAAATTTAGATTCTAACCTTAGAATCTAACCATTTTGAAATTGTAAGAAATCTTGCAATAAGGAAAGATGTCTTTTTTGTGTAGTATTTACCCAAAGTGTTTGACACTAAACCTTTTTATGTAGTACCTTTTACTTTCTGTAGATTTTGTGTCCCTGAGAACACGTTAAGGGACAACATCTTCTAGGATGTAAATCTGCACTAAAAAAGGGCTAATGTGTAAGGAGTGGATAATGTAGAAACTTACAAGAAAGTGGGCAGAAGCACCAGTTTCATTCTCCATTATGATCTTCAATTAATTAGATCATTTGAGAACAATAGGATGCAATAATTGAAAAGTGAAACATCTGTGACCAAAATGAGAGAGAAATAAAAAAAATGGAAATAGTATATAGTAAGCAAGTATTGATAATTAATTTTTGGTACCCAAGATCTAACTCATGATCTTGTGCTTACCAGGCAGGCAGTAATAATAACTAAATAATAAAAGTACGTGAAATCATTTTGAAGTAATAAAAGTAAAACTTATAGTAGGCATGAGCCACAGTAAAAAGAAAAACCCTATTTTCCACTTTAAAATATCACTCATTTACCATATAGATAGGTACACTGACTTTGAAGGAAAAATAAAACTGAATATAAAAAGTTCAGAAACTCCAGGAACCAATATTCAGAAAGAGTATTACCACTAAACCTGTGAAAGCCCTTATCTGTTTTCTCTACCAAATCAATGAAGTGGAAAGATAATTATATCTTGCAAGAATGGAAGCTCTAAATATTACCTTCTCTATAAAATTAAATAGAGAAATCCTTCAGAGAGAAAAGTTCATAAAAACACAATGCATGAGAAACAATGACTTTTGTCAGTTTTGATTTCAGTTTTCTTGGGAAAGCTACAGCCAATAAGAGTACAACACTAGAAGCTAAATTTTAAATCTTTTCTTTCTTAATCCCAGGAAAAATCTATTGCAAAAAAAATTCTGATTGAGTGTTGATGGATATTCCTTTTGTAACTCATGTAGAGTGTGTTACTCAACTGCCCATCTTGGGCAAATTATAATGCTTGTGTTTGAAACTTATATAATCATCCTCATCTTCAATATTATGATTTCCACAGGCCTTAGCAATTAAAGAAAGGATAGGCTATCCTGATGACATTGTTTCCAATGATAACAAACTGAATAATGAATACGTTGAGGTAAGTCTCTGTAAAGGCTCTGGCTAATGATATCTGGCCTGGCGGCGGTGTCATTTCTAGCTTCAGGATGCCCAACATTATGTAAACTATCCTAAAACTGTAAGCCTTCTTACACAAAATCTTAATATGGGTGCTACAACGATATTTCTTATTTAGCTTTCTGTCAGCCCTGGATGTATAATGTAGGCAAGGGTCACCTTGTTATCATTAGGGTGTCTATCAGGTAATGGTGGTGGTCACAAAGTCATTAGAGTGAACCATATATCAAATTGAGTGTATGGAAACCATAGAGTGGTTTTCATTTGAAGAATAGTAAGGAAAATCTGATGTCCTTTAAAGAGCACTGGGGAGTAGATATCAAGGTGAGGAACAACAACAGGCCACCCTTGGGCTCCTTGCCATCTCTTTATACAGGTCTGAAAGACCAACCCTCTGGTTTTCTTTCACTTTCCAGTTATTCCCCCCATTGTGGAAACTTGGTCTTGCCTCCTATATTTAAAAAACAAAAGTAAATCTGATATTAGAGAACCACAAAGCTTTATTTATTTTATTCTTCCCTGAGAGTATAACAATTAAAAGAGGAGAATAGACTGATGTCACTGTAGCTCTGGTTTCAGACTCAGCTAACAATTCACTGCTGACTGTGACCACCACCACTCCCTGATACCCTAATGAGAGCAAGGTGACCCTTGCCTACATCCAAGGCTGACAGTGATTTATAACCCGTTGTCTATTAGCCTAACACAGAGATTTCCAAGTCAAAGTGCTCTGTCCTCTTCCCATATGCAGAGAAAATATTTTTCTTTTATGTGAACTTTCTACACCTTGGTAGTCCCAGGGACCCTTACAATAGTCGTGGAGTGGTTAAGAGCAGAGACTGAAACCCAAATCTAATTTCCACCACTCTCATAAACTTGGGCAAGTGACTAAATAGTTTCTTCAGCTTTGAAATGGTGATCATAGTCCTTCGTCCATAGAATTATAGTAAGGGTTACATGAATGTATTTATAATGCTGAGAAGAACACTAGGAACTCCAGTTGGATCTAAATGGGAATGTGCTGTTACACTCATCTGTTATGTGAGGATTAGTACAATATTGTGAGAGGCTGGTCTGACATTTGGTTTCACTTGGCTGGCTAAAAAAAATTTACTGAAGTTGTAATTCAACTAGAATATTACTAACCTACAGTACAGAATGGGGCTAATTAGAATTAAGTCCTTCTTTGGTGTATATTAAATACTGTCTATCCTTATTAACTGATAAAATTTAAGAAGGTATGTTGTTTGCTAAAAGTTTTGAAGATGCTAGCTTTAATGTTTTTCCCAAAATCTTTTATGTAATATAGTTGAACTACAAAGAAGATGAATACTTTGAGAACATAATTCAAAATTTAAAATTCAGCCAAAGTAAGCAACTAAAGAAGCTCCGTGAAAAGGTGGACAAGAATGAGTATGTATATCGTATTTTTTGACGTGTTCTCTCACAAGAGAGCTTTTAGAGAAATATCAAAAAGTACAATGTCTTAAGTAAGAACCTTGGGTCGGTGTTAGAGCTCAGCCACACAGCACCTGTCTGGCAAGTGCAAAATCCTCAGTTCGATTCCTGGTACAAAGAAAAAACTAGAACCTCTAAAATCATCTAGTTATATTATCCTGATAACATGGGTCAGGAAACTAAAGAAAGTTAATTGTTCTTTATTCAGGTGTTCTTTAACCTGTTTCTTTAGTTCCTTCTTATTTCATGGACCGTATTCTTAAGAACACCTTCATTTAAGCAGCCCACAGTTTCAAGTCCACTTTCTGCCTTACCATATACCCAGGATTTTCTTTTGCTGAAATCTCACCTTTTTTGCTTAGCCAGGCATCCACCTAGTTTGTATAACTTTTTTCTTTCTTTCATTTTTTTTTTAACCTGGGATTGAACTCATACCCTCACACTTCCCAGGCAGGCACTTACACCACTGAGCTAAATCCCCTGCCACCATGACCCCATATAACATTTTCTTATCTCTGAAGTTGCCAAACAAGAAATACCAGGAAGCAGTCTTACAAGTAGTGTTTAAATGCTCTTAATCTTTGCTTACCAATGACATCAGGGCTTCACATTAACTATTAGTGTAGTATCTACTTGTCAGTTGCTTGGATACATCTAACACATTTGTCAACTGTATGGTGTGCACTTTAATCTGTAGTAGTGCTGATGCTTTTCTCGTATGCTTCTAGCCCTTGGAGAACAGGTGTTATGCATTTTGACTTTAACTCCTCAGACGCCAACATGCAGAAAGTTAAGTTCTGTTCAGTTAAAACAGAATTAATGAATGAGTGAACAAATGAAAACCAAATATACTAATTTGATTTTGGTATTAACATGACACATTGGCAGAGAGATGCTGGAATTATTCGTGCACTTGTCCATTGTTTCATTCATCCATCATTTTTTTCACTTGCTTATTTGATTTCTATGCTGCAATACTAAGTCATTAAGCCCTGGGAAAACTAGAAGTAAACAACAGCCGAAGGAGTCAAGACATAATGTTGTAAACGATGCAGCAAAGTGAAAAATGTGCCAAGAAAGGTATAGGGTACAACATGCAGTGGGACTGGTTAGTGACAAGTAAATCAAGTACAGTTTGGACGAACTTACTAGTTTAGTTGTCAGTACATTGCAGTTCTTACTCAACTTTTGAACTCCTGCAGCACTGAGAGTCCTGAAAAACAGGCTGGCTTACTGGCTTCTGGATTTATATTACAGTAAATGTTGCATTTTCTAGGGCTGCTAATATCAATGCATTTTTAGTGTCTGGGAAAGAACCTTTGTTCTTTGAGTGTAGACATATGTGGTTAATGGCATGATCAAGTTATCAAATCCTGTCTCTAGAAATCCACAAAAAGTTATAAAGAATCTACTGAGTAAATTTATCATCCAAGATATTTCTTACATCTGAATATTACATGTATGCATATATATAAACATCTACAAACAAATATGGCTAGATAGTTTTCCTGAAATGACTTTTAGTCTTTTCAAATGACTTGCACACATAAGACATAGAAAAAACATTATTATTTTAATGATCAATGTTAAGCTAGCATCTGGTGTTTTCTCTTCTAAGGTTAATACAGTCTCAGTTTTATGATCATATTGTAATTTTGTTTACATTGTTCATTCCATGTCCTTATCCATGCTGATTGTTTTCTAAGTCCTCTCTTCAGGATAGATAGTCAAAAGCCAAAATGGGTACATTTTAATGAAAGGTTGGTTAATCACGTGAATTCTTCAGTAGTACATTCTGGGTCCTTTCCATCACCTTCTCAAAGTCACAGCTGTATTACGGCTTCTCAGGTCTTCTGTACAACGCAGTGCTGGCTTTTGTTCTTTCCCCACACTCTATGTCTGTACTAAATGCAAAGGTTAAAAAAGCTCGCTGCATATTGGAATCTCTTGGGCAGAACACATTTCGCAGCGAGAAATGTGATGTATTTGCTCTTTGACTGGCACCCAGTTTCCTGTATAAGTACATACCAGTCTCCAAGTGGGAATCTCAGAATTCATGTTAGTTCCTTTTCGTGTCATTTTCTTCAGAACAGTCAGAAACACTTCAACAATGTTTGCATCAAATAGGACTGAGCTTACAGAATACAGTGTAATACAATTCCTCTTATTTTATTGTGGTTTCTTGCAGTGAATATGTCTGACTTATTTTGCACCTGCTTAATAGTAATGAAAACCGGATGGGTTTTTTTTTTCCTTTTTTTATGTGGCATCAGGTTTAAGTTCTCATTCTGTATATTGAAACAAATAATACCTGTTGTTTCTAATTTGTCTACATAGCCTGCAGCTACATTTCAGAGAATCAAGTTTTTAAATATCTTTAGTCCCAAGATCTTATAGGAACAATGCATGCCCATACCCAAAATTGAAGGGATAGAGTTGGTATTAACTCCTATAGAATTGTATTGGAATGCACTTTAGAGAAATAATGATACACTGAATTTTCAAGGTACCAACTGAATTAGCCAATAGTAAACTTCTAGATATTTTCTTTATACATTCTCTCTGGACAAACTCATAGTTTCTTGATAAATCCTACAATTATTATCACAAATAAATATTTACATCTGACCCACATTCATCTGCTGAGTTCTGGACCTAAATGTCTATCTGATTATTAAGTACCATATGTCTCAGTGATCATACAGTGTTTATCACTTAGGCAAAAGCCAGTGATGTTTTCTCCCTCTATCTGCCTGTTTGCTAAAAACCTCATCTTATTACTGCCAAGACAAAACCAGAGAATCATCTTAATTATCCTATACTGATCTCTTCCATCTACATTAACATCTAACTCAAGCCTCTATCCAAAGAAAAGGTCTACGTCTACTAGCTACTCGGTAAACAGCTCATTGCAGGGGAGGGAAGCATCTCCACCCCATCGTCCACAGCACCATTTCCTTGGTTGAGACATTTCTCATTGATCACCAGAGCTATTCACACACCTTCAGTTCATCCTCACTCTCTGTCCCAGAGATAATTTTGAAAGCACAGACTGGGTCACATTGTTTCCTGATGAAAACCTCTCAATGGATCCCTGTGGCCTACTTCACGAAGAGCAAACCTTTTAAAAAGAAATCCCAGTCTCTGTAGCTCTCATTATCTCTCCAGTATTCCATCAGATGTACTCTTCCTGCTACCATCATCCAAAGCTCTAGCCATCCAAACCACCTCCAAATCATTCCTCCATCCTTCTCCTTTCTTTTTCTCACCTTAGACAACCATTTTCCCCTTCTTCATCTAACACAAAGCTCCACATTTTCCTTTGTAATGTAAATTCCGATCTAAATTTACCTCTTTACTCATAGGTCCCTGTACCTGAATTACACCTCACACATTTTCACAGAAGTACCAAAATTTTTTATTAGTGGACAAATCATTGTTGAAAAAAGAAACTCTGTTTTGTGTCACTAGAGATTGAACGCCCATGAGCAGAATGCAGGCCCTTCATAAATGTCCATGGGGTAAATAATGGTAACATGGTCAGTTTGTAAAAATGCCAATAAAGTTAACTTGGGTGCCGCGGTAATAATGCTATATCCAGGCATTTTCCCACCATGGTTAGTAAAGTTATACAGCACCATCATTACTGCTATCTGTTTAACAAATTCAAAAAACTGAAGGGATTAGAAAATCATGTGATACATCCAAATTAACTATTTAGCTAAAGAGTCTGCCTTGCATCTTACGAGCAGCTGGTACGAAAGACAGGGACTTCAGTTTTTAAAGTTTATATGTCTTCTGAGTTCTTAGCATATTTTTCAAGAGTTATCTCAAGTATTGTGTCTTCTAGGAATTTGATGCCAGTTGGTAAAGAATTTCAAGCATGTCAGGTTGTCAGATAAAAATAGTGCTGAATTAGAAATATAGTAAAATCCACTGGCAAAATTACTTAGTAATATATATAAAATTATTTACTTACAGTAACATGATTATTCCCTTAAGAGTTTATGGAGCAAATATAAAGCTCTTCGTTCCAGAACAAAATAAAATGAATCGTTTTCATTGTGTTTGGACTTGATTTTCTAGTAGTTTCTCAGGACAGACCTTCCTGTGGTAAAGTTACCACTTTACCAAATGCCAGTATTTGTGAGTCATTACTGTCTAACCTGGAGTTATTTCTCCTAAACTACAAGGGTTTTTTTTTTTTTATTGCTCTATCTTTCCTGCTGTTATGCATTAAAATAAAACCACACCAAGAGAGACAGAATACAACTGAGTAAATATTTATTAAACAGCTACCATGTGCCAAAGCCTGGTGCTAAACACAGTGGAGTAGAATCTACAGGTAGTAAAACTGAAATCCAAGGAGCCAAGAAAACACTAGTTTTATTGGGTGTTATTAGAAGGAAACAAAGTGATAACATAGCAGTTTCTTTAAATACCACAGTTAAGCCTTCATTCTAAAAACATTTTCTGGAAATGTGATGTCATCATTTAATTTGATAATGAGGTGCTAAGCATCGTGATGCATTCAAGAGGCTGGGCAGGAAGGTCACCATGAGTTTGAGGCCAGCCTGGGCTATGTAGTATGTTCAAGGCCAGCTTAAACTACATAGCAAGACTCTGTCTAAAATTTTTTAAAAATTGAGATGAACAGAGAATCCCCTAAAACCAAAACCAAAAATAGTTGATTCATGTCTTCTTAGTTGCTTTAATCCTGATGTATCTTCTAATCTGAGGTACCTGAGTGATGGCAAACCTCAGAAAGTGTGGAATTGTTGGTTCTGGAACCCAAGAACTTTGGCTCTGTGGGTCTTCCTGAAAGGTCAGCAGCACCAAAACTGGCAAGGCAGTTGGTACCCTGGGAAACGAAACCATAGCTTTGCCCTGTGATGAGTCACCAGGACTCTTTTAGTGTCCCTGCTCTGTCCTTACCACTGCTAGCCTGTGCTGCA